CATAGCAAACAGCCAGAAATACAATCTCATTTAGGAGTGGAGCGCTGGACCAGAATGACAGGACGGCAGTAGCAGCTGTTCAGCCTTCCACATTTCCTATTTGCCTGTCACTTCCTCAAGTGCTGCTGACATAAAGCTGAGGAGTGGTGGGTAGCAGTTATGGGATGTGTAGTAGGGTGTGCTTGAAGGGGTCCAGTGGGGAAGGGAAGGCCTATTGCACAAAAATATTCTCCTGCACGCCTCTAAATCCCGAGGAACTGGACAGTGCTGTGGTGTTAAAAGGTGACTTTCTGGAACACACAGGATGGGCCAGCCCGTAGCCATGAGATGCATTTGATAATTCTGAAGCTTTGTGGCGTTTGCTCGTCGTGATGAAATGACTGGCTTGCTGAGGCTCTGAAAACTGAGAACAGTTAGCTGGTGGTGTGGTAGGTCAGCTCTGCTCCTGTGCAAGGTGAGGTGGCTGCAGAAACCACTGCAGCAGAAGCAGTGGAAGCGAGCAGGCAGAGCGTGGGGAGAAGTTGGATCCTTGACCCGCAGCCCTTGAATGGTTGTGAAAGATTGTGTTACTTCTGCTACTATGCAGCACATCATTAAGAACCTTAATTACGGGGAGGTGACTGCAGTGCGTAGGCTCGAGCGTAGCCTGCAGGAACATAGGAACTTTACTTTTACAATGCTTGCTCTGTGGTGTGTGTGTCTTTGTTGGGGGAAGATACAGAGAGGCTTGTTCTTGTTGCAAATGAACCAAACTTGGCTGGCTGATAATGTGCAGCTCATCTGAGTGAAATGGCTGTAGCCCATTTGATAGGTAACAGCTGGTGCTTTCTTGCTTCTTCCTACATAATAAAGCAAATATGAGTTTTTAAACCTTGAGGGAAGCATTTGGAGAAAGCAAAACTTGGACTTGAGACACAGCAGTGCTTAGCTTAGTTGTGCCGAACCACTTCATTATTTTTTTTCAGTATTCCTTGCTGTATTTATAGCATGAGATACGGTGAGAACAATCAGAGGCACAGCTGTGTGACCTCCTCTATCCTAAAACAAAACAGCACAAAGGAGTGAATAATTTTAGTTTGTTCCAGCTGTGGGTATTGGGTTCAAATTGCAATGCCTTAAAAAGTGTGGCAGAGAAACTGAAAGGTGAATTTGAATTTCTAGGTATAAGGACTGGCTGTGAAGGGCTCCTAGAAAGGTTGAGCTACCAGTCTGTTGGTGAGAAAAGAATATGGTCAAAACTCCTCTATTTGGCATTTGTAACTATTTTTCATTGTGGTTTTGTGTTCTTTTGAACACCTGTATTTTGGTAGTTCCCTCTCCATTTCTTACGTTTAATGTCCTGTTTCTTTGCTAATAGCTACTATGGCCCTTGGGAGGGAAATATTTTCAGGAAGGGTGTCTTTGCCGTGAAGGAATGTCTGTGTACAGGGTAGCAGCAAGGTTTCAAAGATCAGCTCGGTATGATTTTACCTTGTTTGTGCAGCAGGAGCTGGGGTAGGAAGAACTGTTGGGAGAACAGACACTTGAAGACCTGTGTTTAGTTTAAAACTTAATTTTAGGTTGTAAGACGAAGTGAACAGAGAAATACTTGAACTGTGTTCTGGCGAATGCTGTGAGCTCTCAGAAATGCCCTGTCACTGCTGCTGGCCTGGAGTGATCCTCTGCCCTTAGGACAGTCCTGAGCAGAGATCATTGTGCCTCCTGGTGTGACTGGCTTTCTGCCTTATCAGAGATCTTGCAGCGCTCTGTGCTAGAGGAGATAGGGATGATTAGTTTGATGGGTGGCATTTTGTTTGTTTACTAAGCTCTAATAACCAAAGCTGTGGTTTCTGTCTCATCTTTGCTTCCATCGGGAGGTACGTTCTGTCTCTTGCTTTGGTGTTGCAACACACGCCACCTCTTCCCCCCCCTCAGGGCTTTTCTAGAAGCGAGAAGATGGCACTGTCTGGTTTCCCATCTGTTGCCTGATTACGTGCAAACCGAAACAGCCGGCCCTGCGAGCAGGGAGATACAGGAAGAAGATGGGGAGTGCTGCTCTGCTGCGATAGCCACAGGGGGAGGCCAACTGTCTGCTACTGCCACCGCTTCTCCTCTCCCGAGAGGCTGGCACGAAGCCCAGGCCGCTTTGCCACCTCGTGCCTTTCCCCCTCTTCTTATCTAGCCCTGCCACAGCTTCCCAGGCTCCTGGGCTGGCTAGATCAGCCCCACGCTTTTTGCTGGGATGGATGCATCTTGCTGTAAACCCACATCACTGCAGCTGTCTGGGGGCAGAACAGAGGCCTGGACCCGCACCGGGTAGAGTCTGCTTGTGAGTTTGGTGGAAGTATGGTGAATGGAAAGGGCAAAACATAATGTCCTTTAGTTGAGGACTAGTTAGAGTAAAAATGTGTTTTAGGGGACTAGAACAAGGGGGAAAAGCCTGTGTGTTGTGATGTCCTTTCAAGAAATCAAACAACGTGGTATAATTATAAGGTTTAAACAGACGTGATCAGAAGTGGTGCTTGAGGAGCAGGAGGTCTGAGAGTGGTCAGTGATGGCGGCTGAGGCCCTGGGCAGGGGGAGGACCTTGTCCTCTGCGCCTGCCGGCTGTGGGGTGGCAGGGATGGCTGGAGGTGAGGTGCCCTGGAGGAGGCTGATCCTGAAAAAGGCTGTGGGGCCAGGTTCCCACACGCTTGGCACTGGGAAAACTGTCTTTCATACTTACGGCTTCCACTTTGCCTCCCCCAAAAGCCTTGGCACCCCAAACCCTGAGCGCTCCCTTTTGCCTATGGCCTGATCCAAAGCTTTGGCTTTGTCATTCCTGAGGCCGTATTCCCCTGCAGCCTCTTCTCTAGGCCCACAAACGGGTCTGTTCTCCGACTGTTGTCCTCTCACTTCAGCAGCAGTGGGTTTCTGCAGGTGACCTGGGATGGCAGAATGGAAGGAGCAGAAATTCTCTGGAAACAGGAGCTTTGCTGAGCTCCTTTGGGTCAAGGGCATGCAGCGGGGGGAAGGGAACCCAAGGAGAAGGGCCTGATCCAGCTCCTGCTGCCGCTGGTGTTCAGGGCTCAGACCTGCGGGCAGGCCAGGGGATGAGTCGCGCCCGGGGCACAGTGTGCAGGATGTGGGCAGTGAGGTGCTGTGGCCTGATCCTGCCCAGCCTGTGCTGGGGTCTGCACCTGAGCTGCTCACGCTCTGTCTCCAGCACCAAAAAACCCACTTCAGCATTTCTATTTCTGTTCTCCTTTCTCCAGCTATATGTATGTATTATTTTGTTTTAAACTCTGAATTCAGCCTGGGGGGGGGCTGTGGTGGAATGTCTCAAATTCCCGAGGGGCGTGCTGACTGTGGCTCCCTCCGCATAATGCCTGTG